CTATGACTTTGAAAGTTTCAGATTAATTTCTAAAACCAGTGTTTTAATAGCGTTTTATTATCCTATTTAAACTAAACACGGGAAGCATTTTGCTTCACATTGGCACAAAAGCCAATAAAACCGAAAATATACTGTAATATGATAGACATCTGCTATTTGAGAAAGTATAATTTTTTTATTGGAACAATAACTCTAGCACGAGAGGACGGGTCTAATCCTTGTACACACAGCACCATTCGTGTTTCATTCGATTTTGTCGCCACAGTTCATTGACCTACAGCTTCGAAAGAATAAAATTAATAAAACAGTTCTAAAATAAGTTTTATATTTCTTATTATCCTAATAAAGTTACTAAACTAAATATATACCCCAAACATATATAATTTGATGTAAATCCAATATTTGAGAGAAATTTATGTTACTGGATCTTGCTTAAACACCAGCCTACTACCCAGCACCAGCACAGCCGTACCCAGCACCAGCACAGCCGTACCCAGCACCAGCACAGCCGTAACCAGCATCAGCACAGCCGTACCCAGCACCAGCTCAGAAGCAGCTGAAGCCAACACAGCAGCAGCGAGCACCAGCAAAGCTGATGCAAACATCTAAAAACATCGTGTGTGGAGTGAACAGTTAGAACAAGTGTTAAATTTAAGTATGTACATACTGTAGTGTTAAAATTACAGTTGCAGTAATTTTAGTGTACAATAGTTTTCATAAGCTGTATTGTAGTACTCAACATACAGCAGAACTACTTAATCAACACAGTGCTAACAGCATAATGCACTACAGTACGTATTTACTGTACAACATTCACAACTCTATGAGACTTCAAGACATGCAGTCTTGACTATGAGACATGCAGTCTCCGTGGTGTAGTGGTAAGACACTCGCCTGGTGTTCCGCGAGCGCTATGTCATGGGTTCGTATCCTGGCCGGGGAGGATTTACTGGGCGCAATTCCTTAACTGTAGCCTCTGTTTAACGCAACAGTAAAATGTGTACTTGGATGAAAAAACGATTCTTCGCGGCAGGGGATCGTATTCCAGGGACCATAGGATTAAGGACTTGCCTGAAACGCTACGCGTACTAGTGGCTGTACAAGAATGTAACAACTCTTGTATATATCTAAAAAAAAAAGATGGACATTACTCCAACAATAAGGTAAATAACAAATGTAACACAGTATTTTTTAGTAGAGTACAGTAGTAATATATAGGTACAGTATATAATAATGCATTTTTATTATGTACAAGAAAAAAAAGACACTGATGCAAATGCCTCCGGAAGGTCACCTCTTGCAATGAATCCAACGCTCCAACGCACTGGGGTTGGTCCCATATAGTGTGTTGAATCGAGGTTGTACTGTAATTGCTTTTATGTTCAAATACCCAAAAATCAGAAAAATACTGAAATTCTTTACAAATAATTCTGGCGCAATTGTCACTAGGTGGGAGTCACTGGTAAACTGAGGCGCAGTCGCCGTGCCACCACGCGCTAGATCAGTTATACGAGTATCAACAAACTATGTTACCTGAAGCAAAGTTCGTAACCAGATTCGGATTTTACGAAGAAATTGGGCTCGTAACACGAAACGTTCGTAAAGAGGGGCATTCGTAAGCCGAGGTGTCATTGTACTGTACTGTAGTTTGAAGGCTAAAGGTATATGGCATACAGACAAGTAAATGATACAAGCCACTAATGCCATATATCCCCCTATCTAGTCCTTACTGGTTTATATCCTTCTTACATACACGTGACTATTTACATAAGCTGTTATGCAATCACTCCCATAGGCTTGTCTCTTAGCAGAAGGCCACATTAAAATGCCAAAAATTTAACTAAAATAAAAGGAGAATAGGTAGTTACTAATGCTGCTAAGATAGAAACCCCTCCTACTAGGCAGTACTGTTACCAGATGATATTTTGAGATGTCAATAGTCACATCCAATTACACCCACCCCTCAACAAGATAAACTCACACAACAGAAAGATTACCCCATCACTATACAAAGGCACAGACAGCATGGTACATAAGACACACACATTTATAATAATGGGGTAACAACGAGAGGTACTGTGTTTATTTAATTTTAGCCAGAAATTCAAGGCTCGAGTGAATTACAGTATATCGCCAAGGTGTTGCACCAACTAAAATTGGTGCCCCTCAGAATATAATAGATATTGTTCAATAATTCTGTTACCCTCAACAAAAGTCAATAAGAACACCATCTTTAGATTGAAATTTCAAAAAATTTTGCCACCAAAATTTATCCAAGCTGAAAAAAACTGGAAAAAGCTAAAGCTCTCCATCACAAGGCCTGGAATGGCAGCTTTTTCTGTACCTACAGTCCTTTAAAGTACTGTAGGTACTGTAGAAAGCCTAACTAAATCAAGGCACAAATCTTCCATAACAGACTCCAAAACTACTGCATGTGAAGATGAAAAGATGTTAGGCATTAGAATCTAAGCTCGGAACAGCTACCACAAAACACCTGCAGACAACATCACCCTTAACTCTCTGCCCCAGTACTCAGGTGCCACAATAGCATCTCAAAAATACTTGGGAGGGGTAGGGGAGACACTAGTGCTGAATCCTGAAAAGAAAGCAGACTTAGGAAATGAACACCATGCATCCTAAAGATGATCCACCTAGGTTCTGGGTCTTTTCACAACCTTATCTGGCTCATGAGTTGGTCTTGAGGTCAATTAAGGTACTCGAGTTTCAAAGCCCCAACTACACTACCTGAATGAGAAACCTAATTAAACCTTTCTCTCCACAAGCCACGATTCTATGGTGAAATCCACCAAAGCTCCAGGTTGTAGAAAACTTTGGTAGCTGCCAAGTCAGCCAGCCACTTTGACAGGCTCAATAAATAATGATACTCATTTCTTGCTAATTTTACAACTTCATGGGTGAAATCAACATTGTAGCAAACAACCTTAGTGCAATGGACAATTAGGATGCCCTTTGAAGTCTGCAAACTCCATCTGGTACACTAAAACTTTATGCCAAGATAATTTTTTTTGTCCCATGTCTCTAATCTAACAGAAACACTAGGAATTAAATCAACAGGCAAGAGTAAACAATCCTAGGGATCACTACTGTCACTAATGTAACCACAATACAGGTACACAACCATGCAGTCTCTGAACCGAAGTAGGAAAGAATGTGTAGGTTGCAGTATGACAACTAGCTGGTCAAGGTGAAGCCCAAACCAATACCTGATGTAACTCTAAAGTGAAAAAGTCAGACCTTATATGGAACTAATTGCCCATTATATCTCTCATATTCACAAATCTACTGTTTCCAGTCCTAAAAAACCAGCATTGAATGTAATGAAATGCCAGTTTCTGGGTGAGCCCCAGAGACTCCCTAAAGCTATCATACACTGATCAGTGCCATATTACACTATTTAGAGCCATCGGTCATGAAGTTCTATTTGCCTACTTGGGACGACAAGCCAGAACCTGGCCCCCTCAGAAAGGCACAGGGAGCGATGGCCTATGATCACTTTACATTTATTAATTATTTGAAGATTATCATCTTTCCCACTATCTAAGGAAGGCACCTAGAAAGATAGGCAAATAAAAAACAGACCACTGCATGGTTAAAAACGAGACCGCAGCCCCAAAATTGCCAAAAGAACTTCCCAATAATGAATGAAAACAAACAACCAAAATTCTGTGAAACTAGGCTCCCTCCCCCCCCCTAGTTTGCTCCACCTCCCTCCTCATTGGGGGGGAGGAAGGAGCCAGCCCGGGTCAGTCAAGCCCCTCACTGGTCAATTCTAGACTGATGTCTGTGCCTAGTAGTCGTCGTCACTCAGTTTTTGTCTGCTGCTTTTGTTGGTTGCCATCCTGTTGCTGCTTAGCTTTGTTTCCTGGGGGTTCATTCTTGGCCTTCCCGGTGGGGTAGAGCCAGGGCTTTGCCTGATTTTGGTCGAGGTGGGTCCTCTGTAATGCTGGCAGCCAGGTCGGATGTGTTTCCCAAATCCTTGTCTTCTTTGTCAGGTCAGCGCCATACTCACTCTGTTCGGAAGACTGGCGCTCGTGGGTCGCCCCTATGATGGGGCGATTGGGGGGAGGCTGCCTTTATATATAACAATAAACATTACTGATGCTAGAACTGAACCCTGTGGTACTCCATTAGTAACATTTCTCCAGTCTGATACATTGCCTCTGATTACCGCCCTCATTTTACTGTCAATTTTTTTTAGCCATGTTCGAAGTCTCCCAGTCACCCCGTCCAATATGTTCTAGTTTTTAGAACAATGTCTTATGTGGGATTCTGTCAAAAGCCTTTAAGGTATAGATAAATACACAGTCAACCCAACCATCTCTTTCCTGTAAAATCTCTGTGGCTCTATCACAGAAAATAGGCAGATTTGTTACACAAGATCTTTCTGTTTGAAAACCATGCTGTCTGTTATTATATCATTTCCTTCCTGGTGTTCTAGCCATTTGGTTTTAATTATTTTTTCCCAGTGTTCTGACTATCACGCATGTCAACAATATAGGTGTAGTGTCGGCCATTCAGGCAAACTCTCTGAGACTTGTATGTTTTTCTCAAACTCCAATCTCCACCTTGTAGTGATCATCTCTGTGTATATTTATGTTATCAGAAACACCACTTGTGTAGCTCACTCCATCACTATCACCCAGCTAATGACACGATAATTCAGCCATTTTCTAAGACATCATATATTGCTTGCATTATTGAAGATTATAAACTTTTAAGGTGGAAAACATATACTATGTAGCATAACCTACAGATAACATCTGAATGGATGCTCTGATTGTTTTTAATCATATCACTAAACTAGTAAACCAAAGTCTCCAGTCAGCAGAAAATGACATCCAATAGTAGAGATCCGTCTCATTTAATTCATTCAAGGAAGACATCATCAGAGAGCAAATGTAATCAAAGTGGAATTGTTACAAAGTGAGATAGCCTAATAAAAGGACAAGCTTTACAAAGTTAGTGAAAAGGTTCCTTACCTTCAGTTCTCCCACTAAAGTTTGCAGTTCCTCAGCATTAACTGGAGTACTCCAGAGAACTAATACTTGCTGGCGAGGCTGAATGCCAAACATCTTTCAGGCTATACACAGCTGCAAACATAATTATAAAAACTAAATCTTATACCAGTTCCCATTTGTATTACTGCAAATATATAGGTGGCTTTCTAATCTACTGGGTCTTCTGCAACACAGTGAACTTGTACAATCACAATACAGTATTTAAGATGGACTGGGTACTTTTGAAGATTAAAATGAAGTCAATTATAGTACAGATACTAATGAGAACGCAAAATGTAAGGTAATTATGAAAAAATGGCACTAAGCCATTATCAGTAAATAACACTTGAAAGGATATAAGGTCAGAGTAAAGGAATGATACCCAGCCACTTGAACCATTACTATCAAACACATACCCTACAAGAATTGCAGCCGTCAACAAATCAAACAATCCAAATGGAAGGAATAATGAGAACTTGGCAACTGCTATTACTAATGCACTTGACATTTATGATTTATATTCAGCTTAAACCTATAGTTAATACTGAAAGCAAGCTTTTCTTACTTCAATCACCCTAGACCTTTAACCCCTAGACAGCAGCAGCTATGGAGAAATGGTCATAACTGTCTATGCACAAAAAATAAACAAATTACAAAAAATAAATTTTCATTCTAGAATTATAAATGTGTATGCAAAATGCAAGAAAAACACAAAAATAAGTGAATATCATCTCGCTGGGAGGGGGTGCTCTGGCAGGGTGTGGGGTGGGTGTGTCTCGCGCCTGTCAACACCCAGTGCCCGACTCTGCTCATGCTCCCTGTGTTATCTTCTGATGTTTCACTGTTTGTTTATTACCTGTTTCTCTTCATTTACAAGAGTGTGTTGAATAACTTGATATATCACATAATTCACATAACACAATTGTTTCAATAACACATGTTTCAACTGATGATTGGTTTATCTGGTACAGTAAACTCCTTTACAACCACAGAGAGTAGTTTTTTTATTATTATTATTATTTCCAATCACAGACGTGGCCACACATTTACAATGCTAACCAGCATATATACATTTTCTTCCGTCCTCCATGGACAGGGTTAGAGATGTGTTAAACATATAGTTAAGGGATTTATTGAACAATCAACCACAGAAGGTGATTCCGTGCTTTTAAAATGCTAAGCTAACCTACATACGTAAATACATAGATACACAGATTTACGTATGCCCTACATAAAGTGTAGGGCATTTTTCGACTACATAGGTAGTCGAAAAAACATTAATTCATGAAAACTTGGCTTATTAGGCAAATTGGGCCGTGTATAGTAGGCTGAGAAGTGCGTTCTGGCTACTAGGTACGACATATATACAGTATATTATATATATATATATATATATAATATACACACACACACACACACACACACACACACATACATTCACGTACATTTGTCTCTTTTACTCTGACAGGGTGAGATAGCTGATAGAGAAACTAGTGTGCAATTAAGCACTTTAATCACTAAAGATGATTAAGGTGCTTTTACATGCTCAGGGTATATAGTTACATCACATACATACATTGTATAATTGATACATTACATGGTCACTCTAGGTGTTGGGCTCTGGGTTTGTTGCCAATTAGACATATGGCCTAATTGGCACCATATGGGCAAGAGTATAGGTTGAAAGAAAGGTGTAATGTGGCACAAACACATGACAGCAAGCTCCTTTTATTACATGTAGCTATGAAATGGTGGTAGGATTTTTGTTTATGGGTCAAGGAAAATTCCATTGCATCCACAGAGTACTATTATATCAATATTTGCATCATACATGAAAAACCCAGACAGTAATTGTTTAAATCATCATATGATGATAAGTACGTTTACCCTGGGAATCAACAAATGACTGTAACTGCTATCTAAGGGTTAAAGACAAATAATAATCCTAACAAAATATTCTACCTATTCTAAAAAGAATCAAAAGTCATCTGCTTCTCTACTCACCTGTGTGAAAAAAAAAACTTGTACACAGGTCATTCAATGACATGTGAACGTTCCAGTGAATTGGCTTCAATTACACGTTCATGTGCCCAACATCCATCCCTTTATGGACGTTAAAGTAAATATCTCACGAACCACGCCATCCCGCTGCCTTCACAACTTTATAACTCACAATTTTATTCTCGTACTTACCAGCCGCGGTGATGAGAGCAGGAACTGCAGGAACTGCAGGAACTCTTCCCTTGTTTTGTTGCTAGTGGATCCCAGGCACGTTCTTGAAGAGACGACGCGCGCCGATCGTACCTATAGGATATAGATTCTACATTCTAAGGCAGCTTGAACTTGACTCATATTCTTCAAAATCAGTTTGAACTTGATTAGTACTCGTAAATATCTAAATTTTTTCAGTGTTTTACCCATAATGATCATTCAATTAAAAAAATTAAAATGGAGTCATGCCTGTTATTCTTAAACAATCTTCCCGTACAGGCAGATGCCGGGCAAGGGAGAGCGAGGAGATACCCGTTTTTGACCGAATGCTATTTTTATTATTATTATTATTTATACAAGAGTTCTTACATTCATGTATAGCCACTAGCATGCATAGCATTTTGGGCAAGCCCTTAATCCTATGTTCCCTGGAATATGACCCGCCAAATCGTTTACTGTTGGGTAAACAGAGGTTACAGTTAAGGATTGACGCCCAGTAAATCCTCCCCGGTCAGCGAATCCGGGATATAAATAATTTGTAAATAGTAAATAATCTTTTAATAATTATTTATTCTTAAATTTCTGCACTGTTATTTTGTGGGATGGACACAATTCGGATAGACATTTCAGTGAATTCATAAGGTCTAATAATAATAATTTTTTATGATTTTATTGGTTTTTATTGGTCATTTCAATTATTTGCCGAACATGTGTTAATCTTAACATAGTCAAATATAATAAAATTATATTTTATTCATAAAATATGCATTCATAAAAATATAACACACAGGTATGTTTGAAGGTATAGGGGGTTGCATATTAAATAAAGCCACTAATACGCAAATCGTTGCGGGCAAAGATATATTTTGTTTAGTTTTATAATTTTTTATTAACAAAATTAGGTATACACAGCAATGTGCTGCTACCCTATTCTATACGAGATATTATACAGTGTAGATCAAAAATTAGCTATGGGTTCAACTAATATTCCTATCTCACAGGATGGTTAGTCATACATGGAATTAGGGAAGCTAATACCTGCCGTAATATTTATTTATTTATTTATTTATTTATTTATTTATTTATTTATTTATTTATGCATATACAAGAATGTACATAAGGAATGTGAGGATACAATTATGGTAATTACAGTCTTGTAAAGCCACTAGCACGCGCAGCGTTTCGGGCAGGTAAACAAGGTTTACCTGCAAAAACAAGGTTTTATATCAACAATATAAATTGACAGAGATGATTACACTGGTAAAGATTAAGTACCTAATTAGTCTTAAGCACCAAAATTGGGGAAGTGGGTAGCATAAGACAGAGTGTGAGCCCCGAAGCACAAGGTAGGAAACTATAAGGATGAAAACAGGCACTTTTTGATTTTACTTTTGAACAGCTGTCCAACCTACGCTTTATTAAAAAATAAAAAGCACCCACCCTCATCCTCACAGCCTCCCCCGGTGCATCTTGTGCTACCCGCTCCCCCAAAATGTGTGCCTAAGCCATACAACTTCACCATTGTAATTACTGTTAGGATCTTACATCATGGTTGTTATGCTGAGCACAAATTTTACCACAATGTACCTGGGAATAATCCTCAAATTATGCTACAATGTACCTATTTAAAGTTATCTGTTAGATTAAGGACCTTATTTTCCTTAATATACAAGAAGATACAACTTGTCCTATATATACAATAAGGTACATTGGGCTGTGAGAGTACATAACATGTTCTTACATCGGTCACCTCTTCGTAATGAGCCCATTATGTGCCTCTGTAACCCTTTCCACTACCACCCACAAGATGGGTATGGGGTGCATAATAAATGAACTAAACTAAACTCTTCGTAATGTCGTGATTTCAAGAAAGCAAATCTTGCTTTCCCAGTGTTCCTCCGAGTAATATACTAGTAATATGTCCCTCGATTTTTATCTCAAATAGTATTAAGTTTTAGTCTAAGTTTCTTCCCACAACTTGCCCGAAACGCTGTGCGTGTTAGTGGCTTCACAATCACTTAGTTACTAAGTGATTGTAACTGAGTGATTGTAACCTATCCACCGCTGCCCACTGGATGGGGGGCGGTGTGCAGGACAAACATCAATTGTGACACTAGCTCTCCACACAAGTCAGTTGCTTAATTTAGAAACTGTACTTGTAGTAGGTCTCAATCCCATTGATGAGGTGACAATGTGTATTAAATTTTATAACTAGCTCATCAAGATTGTAACTTGCTTAGCTAAATGAATTGTGGGGTTCAGTCCCTGAGCCCATTATGTGCCTCTGTAACCCTATCCACTACCGCCCACAAGATGGGTATGGGGAACATAATAAACGAACTAAACTAAAAACTTCAGGCATTGTATATACTAGCTCTATCTATAAATCCAAAATTATGTTTGTAATTAATTTTCAATGTATGTACATCTTATAAATAAACTGAATAAACATCTCATCTTATATCCTAAATGATTTGATGCCTTTGATTGACATTGCTCGTCATATATGACTTTCTCACATATATTTGAATATCCTGATATAGATAGATAGGTAGCCTATATTTTTGCTATTCTATAATATTAACTATTATAGTTTCAACATATTTTTGTATTATTGCTTAACAGATTCTCAACTATATATAGGCCTACTTGTGTTACTTTCAGGCCTATAATATATAACGTCATCATCTTAGTATTACTATTACACGTGTACAGGCCTATGCGATGCTTAAAATTAAATATGTTATCTTATCTGACAAATTATACAAATACAATTCAAATTTATTACATTACCTTTTATCCTTTATACTGGTTATATACTGGCTTTACAGAAATGTAAGAATTCTTTTATATATATATATATATATATATATATATATATATATATATATATATATATATATATATATATATATATATATATATATATATATATGTCGTACCTAGTAGCCAGAACTCACTTCTCAGCCTACTATGCAAGGCCCGATTTGCCTAATAAGCCAAGTTTTCCTGAATTAATTTATTTACTATAATTTTTTTCTTATGAAATGATAAAGCTACCCTTTTCACTATGTATGAGGTCAATTTTTTTTATTGGAGTTAAAATTAACGTAGATATTTGACCGAACCTAACCAACCCTACCTAACCTAACCTAACCTATATATATAGGTAAGGTTAGGTTAGGTAGCCAAAAAAAGCTAGGTTAGGTTAGGTTAGGTAGGTTAGGTAGACGAAAAAACATTAATTCATGAAAACTTGGCTTATTAGGCAAATCGGGCCTTGCATAGTAGGCTGAGAAGTGAGTTCTGGCTACTAGGTACGACATATATATATATATATATATATATATATATATATATATATATATATGTCGTACCTAGTAGCCAGAACGCACTTCTCAGCCTACTATGCAAGGCCAGATTTGCCTAATAAGCCAAGTTTTCCTGAATTAATATATTTCTCTAATTTTTTTCTTATGAAATGATAAAGCTACCCATTTCATTATGTATAAGGTCAATTTTTTTTATTGGAGTTAAAATTAACTTAGATATATGACCGAACCTAACCAACCCTACCTAACCTAACCTAACCTATCTTTATAGGCTAGGTTAGGTTAGGTAGCCGAAAAAGTTAGGTTAGGTTAGGTTAGGTAGGTTAGGTAGTCGAAAAAACATTAATTCATGAAAACTTGGCTTATTAGGCAAATCGGGCCTTGAATAGTAGGCTGAGAAGTGCGTTCTGGCTACTAGGTACGACATATATATATATATATATATATATATATATATATATATATATATATATATATATATATATATATATGTCGTACCTAGTAGCCAGAACTCACTTCTCAGCCTACTATGCAAGGCCCGATTTGCCTAATAAGCCTAGTTTTCATGAATTATTGTTTTTTCGACTACCTAACCTACCTAACCTAACCTAACCTAACGTTTTTGGCTACCTAACTTAACCTAACCTATAAAGATAGGTTAGGTTAGGTTAGGTTAGGTAGGGTTGGATAGGTTCGGTCATATATCTACGTTAATTTTAACTCCAATAAAAAAAATTGATCTCATATATAATGAAATGGGTAGCTTTATCCTTTCATAAGAAAAAATTAGAGAAAACATATTAATTCAGGAAAACTTGGCTTATTAGGCAAATCGGGCCTTGCATAGTAGGCTGAGAAGTGCGTTCTGGCTACTAGGTACGACATATATATATATATATATGACAATGTCAGACCACGGAGGAAAAATGAAACAGGAATTTCCTTAAGTACTTTCGTATATTAAATACATCTTCAGAAGGTCATTTTACAGATCGAGTGATGGGTATAAATAGGCAGGAGAGAGTGGTGAAGTAAGATGAGGTACAATACTTGGACAACGCAGACGGCCCATTGGCCCATCAGATGCACCCAATTGGCCCATCCGATGTAGCACAATGGCCCATCTGATACAGCAGACATACAAGCATAACACATAGGTAATTATAACATAAAAAGGTAAATATATATACAATAAATTAGTGAGACAAATGTTTTTCAATGATCCTACTTAAATCGCCCTTTAGCTGATGTATTAGAAATGGATCTAAGTTATATAGACCACTGCTAATATTCAAATTACTTTCTTTGGTGATCTGTATCAAAGCAGATTCAATTATGTTTCTGTTATAGGTGCTTTTACAATTTGTTATTGAAGAAGCACTCTCCCAATCAATTTGGTGAGCTTTTTCTGACAAATGCACAAACAAAGCATTAGACAATTGGCCATATCTTACAGAGTATTTATGTTGCGATATTCTACATTTTAAATCTTAGATGTTTGCCCGACATAGAACTTATTACATTCCTTACAAGGTATTTTATAAATGACGCAATTATCACTACGAGGGCTGTTCCTAACTAATAGCTTACCAACAGTGTTTTCGTAGCTAAACATTACATCTATATTAAAAAGTTTTTTGAAACATTACATCTATATTAAAAAGTTTTTTGAAACTTTTTAATATAGATGTAATGTTTAGCTACGAAAACACTGTTGGTAAGCTATTAGTTAGGAACAGCCCTCGTAGTGATAATTGCGTCATTTATAAAATACCTTGTAAGGTATGTAATAAGTTCTATGTCGGGCAAACATCTAAAGATTTAAAATGTAGAATATCGCAACATAAATACTCTGTAAGATATGGCCAATTGTCTAATGCTTTGTTTGTGCATTTGTCAGCAAAAGCTCACCAAATTGATTGGGAGAGTGCTTCTTCAATAACAAATTGTAAAAGCACCTATAACAGAAACATAATTGAATCTGCTTTGATACAGATCACCAAAGAAAGTAATTTGAATATTAGCAGTGGTCTATATAACTTAGATCCATTTCTAATACATCAGCTAAAGGGCGATTTAAGTAGGATCATTGAAAAACATTTGTCTCACTAATTTATTGTATATATATTTACCTTTATGTTATAATTACCTATGTGTTATGCTTGTATGTCTGCTGTATCAGATGGGCCATTGTGCTACATCGGATGGGCCAATTGGGTGCATCTGATGGCCAATGGGCCGTCTGCGTTGTCCAAGTATTGTACCTCACCTTACTTCACCACTCTCTCCTGCCTATTTATACCCATATATTTGTAAAATATATATATATATACTTATTCCTGTTTCATTTTTCCTCCGTGGTCTGACATTGTCACATTCTTAATCACGTGTTTATACACACACACATATATATATATATATATATATATATAACTGAAAACTCACACCCCAGCAGTGACAGTTGTATATAGTCCTGGGGACCATTCATATATATATATATATATATATATATATATATATATATATATATATATATATATAATATATATAAACTAAATAAAAATACTTTAACATACTTATCCCATATATTTAATTTAATCTCAAATTCTGAAGATTTTTCTAGTGGCTTTAGGTATTGTATGTACTAGCTCTATCTTTAAATCCAACATTATGTTTGTAACTAATCCTCTATGTATGTACTTTTACCTGAATAAACATTTGATTTGATTTACTTTTGATTTAATTGCTATGCCTACAATTGTCACATTAACCCATATTTAGACTTGCTAAACCTTGTTAACTCATCTCAATACCTGCAAACTTATACCCATTGTGAATGCAATCATTAGGCCTACAACTATTAATGCATTGGATTCAAATGGCTCATCCTGCTCCCCTATCCTTACGGGCTCACCATAGCCCGTGCTACTTGAAACTTGTTCCAAGTAGCTGAATCTATAACGACAACAATCCCCTATGCTGGCAAGCTACCTTACCTTGAGGTTACCTTGAGGGGATTTCGGGGCTTAGCGATTCCGCGGCCCGGTCGTCGACCAGGCCTCCTCGTTGCTGGACTGGTCAACCAGGCTGTTAGACGCGGCTGCTCGCAGCTTGACGTACAAGTCACAGCCTGGTTGATCAGGTATCCTTTGGAGGGGTTTGTCAATTTGAGCTAGTTGACTTTTAATTCTAAAATGATTTAGGTCACCCGTGTGACTTAAATCATTTTAGGTCACACGTCACACTTATTATTAATGAGGTAATGTTCTTGCTTAAGTGTAATCACAATGTCTTAATACAGGTGTCAATTAAGCAAATCGAGACGGAGAATACAAGCAATTTACATACAGAGGACATTTGTTTTTGTTTTTTCATATTTAGTCAAAGGTGCGTTTATTGCTTTGGAAAATGTTAAGACTTTTGTTGTCTCAATTACTCCCTCTGGAGCTCTTACCTTTGCCACAGAGAGCAAGGAAGCATTCTCAACCTAGGAAATATGCCACCTTGTATATAGCCACATTAAACAGTATTATATGCCACCCACTTATCCACTAATTAATTATTCTTTGCTATAGTCATGCTCGTTTAGTGTTTTTCTTCCAGTAATAGCGGCCTAAATTAATCTCTTGTTATAATTCCCCAACCACTTGGGCTGGACGATAGAGCAACGATCTCGCTTCATGCAGGTCGGCGTTCAATCCCCGACCGTCCAAGTGGTTGGACACCATTCCTTCCTACCGTCCCTTTCCAAATCCTTATCCTGACGCCTTCCAAGTGCTATATAGACGTTATGACTTGGCATTTTCTCCCTGATAGTTCCCTTCCCGTGTTATAAATCCAGTCAGTGTGAGTCACATATGTTGATAGAACAAGGGGTGAGGTATGGAAGCTGAGGACAATCAGGACCTCTTGGCTGCTTTCTCCTTAAGATCCTTCTTGAGCACTTTACCCGTAGCGGACTTGGGCAGAGCATCGACGAACTTGATCCCTCCCTTCAGTTGTTTGTACTCTGCTACTTTGGGCTGTAGGAACTTGTGAATATCCTCCTCTGAGGTGCCGTCTCGTCGGACGATAAAGGCACATGGGAGCTCCCCTGATCGTTCATCATCTACGCCTACCACGGCAGCATCTATCACTCCCGGGTGCTGAAGAAGCAAGTCTTCTATTTCCGAAGGGGACACCTGCAACAACAATGGCCGGGTGAGAGCTGCGGCTGCTGATATTAAAACATTTGTATAAAACTTTAAAACTTGGTTACTGCCAATGGCTTAATCTAGAAAATGTACTTGTGGTCGATCTCGAACCCATTGTTGATGTGACGACTTATATTGAATTTTGTAACTAGCTCATCAAGATTGTAACTTGCTTAGCTAAATGAATTGTGGGGTTCAGTCCCTGAGCCCATTATGTGCCTCTGTAACCCTTTCCACTACCGCCCACAAGATGAGTATGGGGTGCATAATAAATGAACTAAACTAAACTTAACTAACAGGTCACTATGACCTAAATATACGTAAATGAACTCACAGAAAAAGCGAATGGTTTCTTGCAGATAAACTATGGTCACTTTATAACTGGCGGTTGTCACACCGCTAATTATATATTAACAAATTTCCCTTAACAGTTTATGATTGACAGAACGTTACCCTATTCTCAGCCAACTTGGGCCAATGACCAATAAACAAATCCTCAAATCAGAGATGTGCCTTACCTCAGTTTAAATAATTCAAACTAGTCATCTCATCAAGAAGTTTACACTGACCATAATTCACTTCATGTCACTTCTGCGGAGGTCTCAGTGTTCTTTTAGCTATAGTGTTATTATTTAAATAGGTGATTCGAGTGTAGCTCTCACTCTTGCTGTTGTTGTCTTAGATTTAGCTACTCAGAACGAAGTGTCCATGTAGCACGGGCTATGGTGAGCCCGTAATCTCTCTCTCACTCTTGTGTTGACTATGACTATACATGAGCATCCATAGCGGCACGTGACGTCACCACCCTTATTTAGCTGTTCAACAGCCGTCTTCATTTATGGCAGCTTTTTTTCAGGGATATTCCTGCACGGGCCCTAAGCTTCTAGCTGGTCCACTGCGCGGGCCCTAAGCCTCTAGCTGGTCCACTGCGCGGGCCCTAAGCCTCTGGCTGGTCCACTGCGCGGGCCCTAAGCCTCTGGCTGGCCCACTGCGCGGGCCCTAAGCCTCTGGCTGGCCCACTGCGCGGGCCCTAAGCCTCTGGCTGGCCCACTGCGCGGGCCCTAAGCCTCTGGCTGGTCCACTGCGCGGGCCCTAAGCCTCTGGATGGCCCACTGCGCGGGCCCTAAGCCTCTGGCTGGCCCACTGCGCGGGCCCTAAGCCTCTGGCTGGCCCACTGCGCGGGCCCTAAGCCTCTGGCTGGTCCACTGCGCGGGCCCTAAGCCTCTGGATGGCCCACTGCGCGGGCCCTAAGCCTCTGGCTGGCCCACTGCGCGGGCCCTAAGCCTCTGGCTGGCCCACTGCGCGGGCCCTAAGCCTCTGGCTGGTCCACTGCGCGGGCCCTAAGCCTCTGGCTGGTCCACTGCGCTGACCCTAAGCCTCTGGCTGGCCCACTGCACGGGCCCTAAGCCTCTGGCTGGCCCACTAAGTGTTGCTTGTTTCTGTTTTACTTGGGCGGAGTATGAGTATTTATGACTCGTATGGTCGCTTCAGTAAGATTTTGTCCCATGTGTTTAACAACTTCTGCTCTGTTGAATCTAAGTTGAAATCTTATGGCAGCTAGATATAACATGAGTACTTACTTCTCCTTAAGAAGATGTTTAAGCCAGATAAAATATATTTCTTCTTGTGATGCTACAACTGTTTTGTATAATTAATTAAAACGACCTTCAATGTGGGCTAACAGCAGATGGCATATAATTGCAAGCTCAGATGTCATTCCCTGCTGACAACTGTTGCCTGTATGTCACCCTGCCTGCTTGGGTCCTCGACTCCTAGTACCTGCTCCTACATGTCGTCGGCGTGTGCTGATTGGTAGACGGTGCAAGGTTTGATGCCTAAATATTATTAAGCGTGCAATAATACACCCTTAACATCTAAAATGGGCGCATCCGATCCCTCAATGATCGTCGAGTCTCAATCACCAAGAGCATCTGAAATTCTCTTAAACAGTGGGTAACTTTCTACTTCTCCCATAAAACCCATTAGCACTATTTATAATACCTACTACCTGATAATCATTGCAAGGCCTCACTGTTCTATATACAAATGCTAACAAACTGGATTAAAACCAGAGAAGTGGTACAAAAAACAATTCCCCCAAAACAAAATGAACAACAAATTACATAATGTGACCTTTCATACCCTGACCTACCTGCAAACCTTTGACCTTGATGAGTTCCTTGATCCTATCGACGATGCTGACAAAGCCATCTTGGTGGATAGCCACGTCCCCAGTGTGCAAATACCCATCCTTGTCTATAGTTTCAGCCGTGGCAGTCGGGTTGTCGAGGTAGCCGGTCATTAACTGCGGAGTCAAAGGGAGGCTTTAGTAATAGCTTCTTTAGTACTAGTTGAGTTGTGTAGTAGTAACAACTATAGTTTTTGCTTAACAAATCCACAAGGGCCGTGACGAGGATTCGAACCTGCGTCGGGGAGCATCCCAGATACTGCCTTAATCCACTGAACTACGACAGGGTTAAAAGGGTTGAAACCGAAGTTCCACTGAACTTACTGGATCCCGTAGCCTCTCCGAGTAAGGCTGCTGCTTTATTCAATATCACAATAACAAGATATATCTATGAGAGAGAGAGAGAGAGAGAGAGAGAGAGAGAGAGAGAGAGAGAGAGAGAGAGAGAGAGAGAGAGAGAGAGAGAGAGAGAGAGAGAGAGAGAGAGAGAGAGAGAGAGAGAGAGAGAGAGAGAGAGAGAGAGAGAGAGAGAGAGAGAGAGAGAGAGAGAGAGAGAGAGAGAGAGAGAGAGAGAGACACAGACAGAGAGACAGAGAGAGGGAAGCTGTACATACTGAAGGAGACCTGATGCAGAGCTCGCCCCTCTGGTTCTCAGGAAGGGCCAGGCCGGTCTCAACATCGACAACCTTCACCTCCACGTTGGGTACACACTTCCCACACCAGCCGATTTTCTCCTCCTTCAAGGGAGTCATCAAGGCACCTAGACATTCCGTCATGCCAAATCCTAAGAGAACATTGGACAAATATTATCATCAAACATAACAAGGGCGAAATTACTTTCCTGGAAAAAAAAGACTCAACAAGAAACATTTAAATCTTGTCATCCCTGAAAAGCTCCAAATAAAAGTATTAATCGATAAACGGCTGCCTATTATCAATTTTAATTAGTTTTATCAGGGACAGGAAGCCTATGCACATATATAAATATACTTTAGGTTTGTATCAAAGTCCCCCCCTCCACTTCCCCCAGAGGTCGAACTACTGACCTTCCCCTGGATGCAACAGCACAACAGTTGCATAACTACCGGGGAGAGAGAGAGAGAGAGAGAGAGAGAGAGAGAGAGAGAGAGAGAGAGAGAGAGAGAGAGAGAGAGAGAGAGAGAGAGAGAGAGAGAGGGGGGGGGGGAGGGGGGGCAGGATATTGGGAAAGAGGGGAGGAGATCCTCGTTCAGTGCATCAATTACTTTGTTTATAATTACTATTAGAAGATTTTAGCGTATTTTAAAAAGTGTGGGGTTGTGTTTTAATTACAAAATTTCACCAATAACTTTATGGCCATTCGATCAATATATATATAACCTATGTTAGGCTTAATTAATTTTGGTTAGATTAAATTTAGTTATTTAGTTTCGTACTAAAAACACCAGGAGATAAGACTCTCTGGTTTATTTTAAGTAGATTTTAATGCATTAAGATTCAGGGAAGATGTAATCTCAATTTAAGATTCTCTTCCCTTATGTAAGTACAATTATGTAATTTGCATTATGTATTATTTCAGTCCATCCTCCTGTTCTGGTAGTACTTACAGAAAGGATGATGATCATAGTACATATACCGACGTACAGCGCTATCAACAAGTAGAAATCTGTACTATTGAATTTGAACAAACCGGAAAACAATTTTCTCCTTATGTTGCACAGACAAAGTAAACTAGCCTAACCTTCCTAGGCCTAATACACGCTATCCGAGGCCTAATATAGTACACATGTGTGCTATACTAGGCCTAGCAATATTTAAGTTTGTTTTTTAGTTTCATTTTTCGGGCTATAAAGTGAATAGTACAAAGTTCTACCTAATTGCTTAGTACGTCAATATTTGTACTATGGTGAACATAGTTACAAAAAGTTATATCTAAAAAGGAGGATAGGTTGAATATTTATATAATTTTATTTATAGTTCTGTACTCACCAAAATGAGAAAAGGGTGCTCACTTACCTACCAGAAATTTTAGCCAAATATCCCCAGTTTGCTAACTGTAGGTAGTAACTGAGTGATTGTAACCTCTCCACCGCTGCCCACTGGATGGGGGGCGGTGTGCAGGACAAACATATCAATTGTGACACTAGCTCTCCACATATGTCAGTTGTTTAATTTAGAACCTGTACTTGAGGTCGATCTCGAACCCATTGTTGATGTGACGACTTATATTGAATTTTGTAACTAGCTCATCAAGATTGTAACTTGCTTAGCTAAATGAATTGTGGGGTTGAGTCCCTGAGCCCATTATGTGCCTCTGTAACCCTTTCCACTACCGCCCACAAGATGGGTATGGGGTGCATAATAAATGAACTAAACTAAACTAACTTACCTTCCTGGAAGAATATGGGGTTGGGAGCCTTCTTCTTGAGGGCCTCGGCACTGGTGGTGGGTATGGGCGCCCCAGCACACATGACCACCCTCACCCTGGACAGGTCCTCACTGGTGACAGTCGGGCTCACGTTGAGGAAGTTCAGTATTGGGGGAACCAGATGCACCACCCGCAACTGCAATACACTCCAGTGTTAGTACCAAACAATACCACTTGGTGGTGATCTGTGAGGCTGTGAGAAGTTAGAGCAGACAGCTTGTAATACACTGGAGAGAGTGTATTACAAGCCATACACTGGCTTGTAATACACCTCGGGTTCGATTCCCCATGATGGACGGGATGTATAGTTGACCAAACCACACACTAGAAACGTGAAGGGACGGCGACGTTTCGGTCCGTCCTAGACCATTCTCAAGTAGATTGAGACTTGAGAATGGTCCAGGACGGACCGAAACGTCGTCGTCCCTTCACTTTTTAGTGTGTGGTTTGGTCAACATACTTCAGCCACGTTATTGTGACTCATCGCCTGCACGCGATGTACAGGTTTGTTTCCTTTACCTGATGCCTCTGTTCATCTAGCACTAAATAGGTACCAAGGAATCAATCAACTGTTATGGAATGTAACGAGGGAAATTGGTTAGTCTTCGGGTTACCTCGATGAACCTCGATAAGCTTAACAGGGGTCCTGGCCCCGAGATCAGAAAAGCATTGCTGGAGTTAACAAACCTGTTTGTTCATCTGCCTCTTATCTTGCTATAAAAAACTAATTTCGCTATGTTATCCTAAATTATATAGGTCCAAGTGATAACATAAAGGGGACAGCATATAAGAGTATATAAGACAGTACATAAAAGAAAGTACTATTGATTTTGCAAGCGACTCGTACACTACGTCTTTAACTAAACGATAGAGCAACTGCCTCGTTTCCTGCAGGAGGGCGTTCGATCCCCAATGGTCCAAGTGATTGGAGTCTGCTTCTTTACTCCGTCCACACATCCGATCTCCTTGTCTTCGTATCCCAGCTCCTTGCCCTCATATCCCAGCTCCTTGTCCTCATATCCCAGCTCCTTGTCCTCATATCCCAGCTCCTTGCCCTCATATCCCAGCTCCTTGTCCTCATATCCCAGCTCCTTGCCCTCATATCCCAGCTCCTTGTCCTCATATCCCAGCTCCTTGCCCCTCATATCCCAGCTCCTTGCCCTCATATCCCAGCTCATGGCCCTCATATCCCAGCTCCTTGGCCCTCATATCCCAGCTCCTTGTCCTCATATCCCAGCTCCTTGTCCTCATATCCCAGCTCCTTGCCCTCATATCCCAGCTCCTTGCCCCTCATATCCCAGCTCCTTGTCCTCATATCCCAGCTCATGGCCCTCATATCCCAGCTCCTTGCCCCTCATATCCCAGCTCCTTGTCCTCATACCCCAGCTCCTTGTCCTCATATCCCAGCTCCTTGCCCTCATATCCCAGCTCCTTGTCCTTATATCCCAGCTCCTTGTCCTCATATCCCAGCTCCTTGCCCTCATATCCCAGCTCCTTGTCCTCATATCCCAGCTCCTTGCCCCTCATATCCCAGCTCCTTGCCCCTCATATCCCAGCTCCTTGTCCTCATATCCCAGCTCCTTGTCCTCATATCCCAGCTCCTTGCCCTCATATCCCAGCTCCTTGCCCCTCATATCCCAGCTCCTTGCCCTCATATCCCAGCTCCTTGCCCTCATATCCCAGCTCCTTGTCCTCATATCCCAGCTCCTTGCCCCTCATATCCCAGCTCCTTGTCCTCATATCCCAGCTCCTTGTCCTCATATCCCAGCTCCTTGCCCTCATACCCCAGCTCCTTGTCCTCATATCCCAGCTCCTTGTCCTCATATCCCAGCTCCTTGCCCTTATATCCCAGCTCCTTGCCCCTCATATCCCAGCTCCTTGCCCTCATATCCCAGCTCCTTGTCCTCATATCCCAGCTCCTTGCCCCTCATACCCCAGCTCCTTGCCCTCATATCCCAGCTCCTTGCCCTCATATCCCAGCTCCTTGCCCTCATATCCCAGCTCCTTGCCCCTCATATCCCAGCTCCTTGCCCCTCATATCCCAGCTCCTTGCCCTCATATCCCAGCTCCTTGCCCTCATATCCCAGCTCATGGCCCTCATATCCCAGCTCCTTGCCCTCATATCCCAGCTCCTTGCCCTCATATCCCAGCTCCTTGCCCTCATATCCCAGCTCCTTGCCCTCATATCCCAGCTCCTTGCCCTCATATCCCAGCTCCTTGCCCTCATATCCCAGCTCCTTGCCCTCATATCCCAGCTCATGGCCCTCATATCCCAGCTCATGGCCCTCATATCCCAGCTCCTTGCCCTCATATCCCAGCTCCTTGCCCTCATATCCCAGCTCATGGCCCTCATATCCCAGCTTCTTGTCCTCATATTCCTTCTAAATTATGTTTATTCACGCTCTACAGCCACAAAAAAATTATAACAATATATCTTATATCTTCTGTATTTGCCTAATTCTAAGCAATTTGGGCAATTCAATGGACCACTTGCGCGTGCTATAGTCATATTATATAAGAGATTTCTCCTTATATTTTTGTTTACACAGGTGGGCAGAGAAGCAGACGACTTTACCTAACATATACTTAAGCAAACACAAGAATGATCCCTGCTCTGATTACTAACCTTGTGATCCCTGACGATCCTTACGAAGTCTTGACTGGTGAAGGCTGGAAGGGAAACAATCTTGGCTCCCAAGTAGAGGCTGAACATTCCCACGGTGTAGAGGCCATACAGGTGGTAGAAGGGCATGTACCCAACTACTGTTTCTTGCGTCTCGGCTGAGGGTCAAGTAATATGTAAATAATAGGTACCAGGTATGGACCAATACGAGATGCCTCATATTGCCCCATACGAGGCAGCTCCTATTGGCCCATACGAGGCAGCTCCTATTGGCCCATACGAGGCAGCTCCTATTGGCCCATACGAGGCAGCTCCTATTGGCCCATACGAGGCATGGGTATGAACCTAATGCATGGAATGCACTAGGAAGTGATGTGGTGGAGGCTGACGCCATACACAGTTTCAAATGTAGATATGACAGAGCCCAGTAGGCTCAGGAATCTGTACATCAGTTGATTGACGGTTGAGAGGCGGGACCAAAGAGCCAGAGCTCAACCCCCGCAAACACAACTAGGTGAGTACAATCTGAGCTGCCATGCCTCGTATGGGCCAATAGGAGCTGCCTCGTATGGCCCAATAGGAGCTGCCTCGTATGGGCCAATAGGAGCTGCCTCGCATGGCCCAATAGGAGCTGTCTCGTATGGCCCAATAGGCTTCTGCACTGTCGCTTAGTTCTTATATTAACATAGTATTCCTCGCACAAATGCTAAAATAAAATATTTAATAAACAAATACTTTCATACAAACCTCGTTAGGAAAAGTAATTAAGGTTTTATGAATCTGATTAAATACTATTTTTATATATAACGTAGTAATTAATTGAAAATTTGCTGATTTATTTCCATAATATCTAATTAAAAATAAATTTACTTATTATATAGCCTAATCCTCTGCTAATTGATGCACAGAATGAAGGGGTAGTGTATTGATTACTTTGTTAATATATATATATATATATATATATATATATATATATATATATATATATATATATATATATATATATATATATATATATATATGCACGTATTTAATTAAGATTGAAAAATTAGTTTTCTTAATATCGACTTTTCTGATTCTCGTTACGCCGGGATCACTTTCCCTCCAAAAACTCTTTACTAGTTGCCTTTGCGCTCTCTCTCTCTCTCTCTCTCTCTCTCTCTCTCTCTCTCTCTCTCTCTCTCTCTCTCTCTCTCTCTCTCTCTCTCTCTCTCTCTCACCTGTTGTAGGTAGGTAAGAGAAGTAATCAGGGTGTGTGAAGCAGGTGATGTTTGAGGTGAAGGCGCCGTGAGAAAGTTCTGCACCCTTAGGCGGCCCCGTAGTGCCGCTCGAGTATATTATGACAGCTGTTGATTTCAGGGGACACTGAGGGAGACGTTTTAGTTCAGTTCATTTATTATATGCCCACTGACCATCCTGTGAAGGGGTAGTGGACCCCATACCCATCCTGTGAGGGGTAGTGGACCCCATACCCATCCTGTGAGGGGCAGTGGACCCCATACCCATCCTGTGAGGGGTAGTGGACCCCATACCAATCCCGTGAGTGGTAGTGGACCCCATACCCATCCTGTGAGGGGTAGTGGACCCCATACCAATCCCGTCAGTGGTAGTGGACCCCATTCCCACCCTGTGAGGGGTAGTGGACCCCATACCAATCCCGTGAGTGGTAGTGGACCCCATACCCATCCTGTGAGGGGTAGTGGACCCCATACCAATCCTGTGAGTGGTAGTGGACCCCATACCCATCTCGTGAGTGGTAGTGGACCCCATACTCATCCTGTGAGGGGTAGTGGACCCCATACCAATCCCGTGAGTGGTAGTGGACACCATACCCATCCTGTGAGGGGTAGTGGACCCCATACCCATCCTGTGAGGGGGTAGTGGACCCCATACCCATCCTGTGAGTGGTAGTGGACCCCATACCCATTCTGTGAGTGGTAGTGGACCCCATACCCATCCCGTGAGTGGTGGTGGACCCCATACCCATCCCGTGAGTGGTAGTGGACCACATGCATAGTTAAACATTACCCTAAATTTACATTGTTTTTAGTGTTTAATTTTTTATATCTCATATTACTAAGTATTACCCTAAAATGTTTTAACTAAACCAACACATTAATTGTAATGTTCGCCCGAAACACTACGAGTGATAAGTGGTTTTAAAATAAATATAAAAGTAGTACAATGAATGCAAATAAAGTAACACACTTTAGTACACAATGAATGCAAATAAAGTAACACACACACATATATATATATATATATATATATATATATATATATATATATATATATATATATATATATATATATATATATATATATATATATATATTTTAGTTTATTTTGGTAGCAGTCTTTCCTGTAGACATATATTATTAAATATGACCGAAAAAGTAAGATTAATAATTCTAACACGAATTTTCTCAATCTTTCGTACATTTCTTTTCACTGTTGGAGGTAAATCAAAAATCAATTCTCCAAAATTCATTTTTATTTCTAGTCTGACGCGACACGAGCGCGTTTCGTAAAACTTATTACATTTTCAAAGACTAGTTTACAAATACACAACTGAATAGAACTAAGAGAGAGAGAAGATTAAGCCACCCAAAAGGTGGCTTGGGCATGAATAGCCCATAAGTGCCATTTGAGCCATTTCCAGTATCAATAGATGATACTGGAGATGTGTGGAGGTGCAACTGCACCCTGCGTGACGGGAGATGTCTCCCGTGTGAATAGAACTTACGCATCTCCGATTTTATATCTACATTTGAGAGAGGTGGATGGGGTGAGGTGGCATTAATAGGGTATTAATTTCATCAACACAAGACAGAGCAAGAGGTGGCATTAATAGGGTACTAATTTCATCAACACAATACAGAACACGAAACAATGGGTATTGAATAGAAGTGATTGTAGAAAGCCTATTGGTCCATATTTCTTGATGCTTCTATATTGGAGCGGAGTCTTGAGGTGGGTAGAATATAGTTGTGCACAACTATATTCTACCCACAACTATATTCTCCAG